TATCATGTCCAGTTGTATCAGGGCGAATTGTGCCAAACTTATCCAAGGATGGCGCTCGCGACCGACCAGCCGATGAGGTTTTTCCGGGCGCCATCTTTCCCTGTTCTGTCTTGTGGCTGAGTGACGCGTCTCGAGGTGAGAGCCGATTTTATGTTTTTTTAATGTCATTCTAAAAAAATAAGTTGCAAGAAAATGTGTGTTCTGGGCATTTAGATGTGCAACGAATTTGAAAGATCTCCGTAGCGGTGGTGAGGGTAGGTTCTAGCTGCGTGAGTGAAAACGGATTTCTCCAGCTGTCCGCTGTTTTTTGAGCACGAGGATGTTTTTTCCAAGATGGCGGCTAGGTACATGTTGTATCAGAGCCGGGTGGGGTATGTTGTAACATGTATGTATGTATGTATGTATGTATGTATGTATGGGTATGTTGCTTTTGATCGCGAAAGCTAAGCCCTGGCTCGCGTTTATAGGTAACTAGTCAATGCTCGTTCCATTTCGGCACAATGTGTTGGCTTCTTTGCTCTTAACGGGCCACTTTTGCGTCTAGTCTGTTGATGTTTCGTTCGGATTGCATTGACCTAAGTTTGGTCTAATAAAGTGAAGCCTTTGAGCATACCTATACATTGTATTAACCACATTTAATGTTGTTGTTATGTTCAAAACCAGTAGCAAGCACACTCCCTGAAACGTGAGATAGTGATACAAATTACCCCACCATGTGATACAACTCACCCAAGCCATGGGGCAAGTTGTATCAAAAACATTGTTCTATTCGGGAGACCGTAGAAGAAAAACTGGTAGAGGTAGCGGAAAAGTTACTTTGCACAAAAAAAGCAGAAGAATCAAGGAAGGAGATAGTATGGAAATAATGAGTTTATCACGGATAGTTACGAGGTTATGGGTCTCGGAGTAAAAACTGATACAACCCACCCCACTCTCCCCTACGTGCCAACCACTAGGTACTTTAAATGGACAATTGTTGTTGATAATGACCGTTTGTTGCCATCTCCCCGTTCGCGAACCCTTAAGTTATGCTCCCTCATTCAGGCTCTTAGGCGGGTAATAAAGCATGAGGGATGTGGGTTCCGCATTCTCCAGCAATATTTGTCAACAGTTGGTGAATTATATGTTAAAACAAACTAGCATATACGGCGGTTTAGTGTACTTTATGTCCGTCTGACGTGCCCGTCGTTGCGTTTTCGCAACGCTGATGGCGCCCGGTGTGCCCTTCGTTGCGATTTCGCAACGCACGTTTTTTACGTTTTTCTCGAAAAACTTTTGCTGCCGGCAAAAATTATTTTCGATGCCATGCAAGGCCCTGGTAGAAGCGTAACATATCTTGACTTCATCGATTTTCATGATGGTCAATATTCCTGGGCATAAATGGGTTAATTGAAGGTGTTCCGCCGCTACTGTCCACAGCCAGCATTTTATAAGGTAAATATCATGTATTTGTATACATTGGCAAAATAGTTACATATATTTTGTCCACATGGACCACGGGTCTCACGTGGAATTTCTTTCACTTCCCATATTCCTCATACACAAAATATGGCTTGCAAACATCAAGCAATCCCGAAAACCGTGGACGCTCTGTAGTCATGGTATGAAAGATTGGTATGAAGACAACCAAATACGAATAAGTTAAAATTGAGTCAAACATTTTATCGCGCTATTCTATCCCCATATGATCGTTTGGCTGCAACAAATCACCTTTCTATTTGAAGCATAAAACGGACATTATTTAGGTAATCTTTACGGCAGTTTGACGTGAATACTCGTATGTAAGTAGCTGATTTGCCTTATAAAACAAATATTTCTGAAAAATGCCACCTTCATACACTCAATACAAAACTGAGCCAGGTAGCCTATTAGGTAAGCAACCGGAATGCTGAATGCTATGCTTATCTTAGACAAATAATGCGAACATTGCAAAAACTACGGCATTTATATTACAAAGAGAACTTTGAAAATGTTGGTAAGCTCAGACAACTTAAAGGTAGTGTGCCAGCTTTCCTGGACCGTATGGAGTTAATGGCCCAGATAAGGAGAACCGGATTTTTAGAACCTATCCATACCTTCAAAACTCATGGAAACGTCTTAAATTCTTCAAATTTTGAGTACCCCAGTGCGAAATTCGCCCCGACGGGTTGTCGGTCGTACCCCAACCACATTTCACACCACTATGAACAATAAATGCACACACTGAAATCGCCATTACCGATAGGCTCATCCAATCAAGTTTCGATAAACCCGTTCATCATCATCTCCTGCGGTTTCGAACACGCCTGTTAGGTGGTGCGGTAGACCGCGCCCAAAGCCAGGGCCCCGGTAACGTGAGGTAGCCGAGTCGGGGCAGCGTGCGCTGACCCAAGCCGGGGCCGCGCGTCCTCTCGGTGTCATGTGATAGCCCGGGGATGCGGTAGACCGCGCCCAAAGCTGCGGCCCCGGCTTGGGTCAGCGCACGCTGCCCCGACTCGGCTACCGATCACGTTACCGGGGCCCTGGCTTTGGGCGCGGTCTACCGCAGGTGGCTTCTGCTCATACTTTGTGGTGCGGTGGTGGTGCGCCGGGCCGCGCGCTCTGACTTCGGCCAAGAAAAATGCGTCAGCTGATCATTGTCATTTCTGCCACTTTCATGTGGTGAGATGGGGTCATAACTTTAGAGACGGCTGTTTCATATCAATCATTTTACATAAAATAATATTTCAAATCATAAATTAATGTTCGACAGCCAAATTAAAGAAACAATACCAATACAGGCTTACAGTTTAAATTCGACATTGTGTTGTCTACGATTAGACAGCTGATAACTCATTCCCGTACGTCGTAACTCTATAATGACCTTTGCTTATTGTCACATGTGCGCCGCATTCGCGATTGCTGCCGACGCCTGTTTGCAGGTCAGCCCACTAGTCACTACAGTTGTTATACATATCGAAAAACCGATAAACTTTTAGGCGAAAAAAAACTCTATTTTAGGCCAATTTTTGATTTTTTTTGCGATATTAGGTAAAAACAGAAGCTTCTTATCCTAGGAAAAATAAAATGGGAAATCATTGGAAGGTGGCACACTACCTTTAATATAGATAGATTATAATTAGTTATAACATGCACCACACCATACGATATGATAAAAGCTGTTTTCACGACAGCGATTTGGTACACCTTTGGGCATAGGCGGTGGAACGGGGAGGGCACCGGGGCACCGTGCCCCCCTTTGATTTTGGCGTTTTAACATTAGCCCTATGGGCGTTGCATGGAAAGAATGGGACCAACAGTCGGCAGTGCCCCCCCCCCCCCTAATTGAAGGTGTTCCGCCGCTACTGCCTTTGGGGAAAATTTGGTGCAGATTTGGTCAAACTAGGTTATATGTAAACGACTAGTAGCCGAAAAGCGTACCTACCTTGAATTAGGTTAATTGTGTTTCATAGTATTTATCAGCGGGGGCTAAACAATTGCTTTAGATACCTGTGTCTGAAATTTCAAATTATCAGACATCATTTTCTATTAAATCAATGAAATAAATCCATTATGAATATCTGTTGTAAAAAAAACTTTGGAACATATTTGATCAAGTTTGATACATTTGCCAGATAACCCGTCGTGAAAACAGCTATTAGGTATGTAGGTCCTGTGTAACAGCATTTCTGCTGTTAGTAAATATCACAAGTATGTGTGCTAACTTTGTAATCATAGTCCGTTCGCTACACATAAAAATTGTAGGTATGTATAATATAGTACTAGTAGTTAAAAGAGTCGGCATTCCTTGCTCGTCTTAAATGCCCCATGATGTCTTGCTTCCGGCCTTCTGTTCAAATGGATACTGTTGCAAGGCCTGGGACTTTCGCTGGCACGGCGAGCACTTGATCCAGAGCCACTCCAGCATAAAGAGGCCGACACTGCAGATGATTCCAAGGGGGACCAGGACGAGCACTGCCAGCACATCTCCCAGAGAGAGCTCCTTGAAGCCGCCGGACGCAGTACACATATCCTGGCCCCCTGTCAGCCACCGGGCCTTCAGCCGGGAGATCGTCCCCGCCTGGTTCAGCACGCGCATCACCTGGTTGATGGCGCTGTGCAATCGCTCCCTGCCCTTCGCCATCACGATGTAGGTGTTGGCCTTGGCCGGCAGCCGATCCAGCAGAGGGACAGTGGCGCACGCGTCGTCCCCGAGCGTAAAGAACAGGCGCTTTACGTCGATATAGACAAGAACGTTCGGCTCGATGGACTTACGAAAGGCCTCATCGCTGCCATCCAGCTCCAAGTAGCCGTCCCTTTGTGAGACGCGCCGGAACAGCTCGCGTTCGTACGGGCTGCTACTGATCTTCCAGTCGTTGAGGGTGCCAATGCCGCGCTCCAAGGCGAACTTCCAGCCGGACTGTTCTGAGAACTCCTTGAGGCTGCTGATGGGCTTGTCCACCGTGGTGACGGTTAGATAGGAGATGAGGTTGGCCGTGTAGTTGACGTAGATGAGGATGCCGAGCACCCAGCTGAAGATGGTGGCCGTTCGCGCCGCCAGGGAGTCCGGAGAGCTCGCCCAGCCCTGTCCGACTACAGACATGAAGCTGGACAGGAAGCAGGTGCCCCAAGTCATGTCAGCCACCGTCTCGCGTCGCTCAGCGCGCTCGTGGTTGTAGCGCAGCGCGATGCGCAGCACCCACGAGACGACGAACAGCGAGGCCAACAGGCTCCACCACACGTTCATGTGCAGCGGCTTCAGCAGTGAGCTGAACATGCCGGGCGTGATCTGGGGCACGGTGTCGGTGCCCTGGCGCATGTGGAACGTATACTGATCCTGATCCACGGGCACGGCCGCCACGTAGTCGACCGCCTGGGCGCGGTCCTGGCGAAGTCTCACCCAGGTGAGCGCCACGTCCGCGCGCCCGTACGTCAGCTCGCCGATGAGGCCGTTCCAGGTGCCGTTCTCGTCCATGCTGCCGTACCCCCCGCCGGGCAGTGCCACCAGCCGGTAGGTGAGGCGCAGCTCGCGCGCAATTGTGCGCCACAGGTCCATCAGGTAGCCGTCAAAGTGGTAGGATCCGTCGCCCTGGCGCACCATGGAGATGTAGGGCGGATCGTGGATGGCCACCACGCGCAGCGGCTCCTTCATGCCCTCGCCGCTGAACGGTTCCACAGACCAGGTGCGGCCCACTGACATCAGCTGCCCGATGGCCTGCATGGCTGAGGAATCTGATGAGGACCTACTACGGAGTTGCGGGGACCTTCTGACCTGCTGATGACCCGCTGTCGACCCACTGACCTGTGCTTGACCTGCTGCTGACCCGGTATCCAAGATTGATCCCGAATAGCCGATAGTGATTGTCCTGCGTGGCACGTTTTTCTTTTGCTGACAGTCCGCTCCAGGAAGCTTCTGAGGTCACTGATCACCAGCTGATCACTCTGCGACAAACATTAGTGCTGATCGTCAGGCTGTATCTCTGCTGTGAGCACAGTAGCTCGCTCCGTAAGAGCCGGACCAAGTACGATGGCTCACCTAGTGAGTGCGGAGTCGGCAGACTGTGAGCAGCACCTCACCCGGCGCAGAACTGGCGCTTCGTCGCCCGGGTCGGTCGCACCGGAGGATGCAGGCAGGATCGATGGCCGGTTTGTGCGCCCTTTACGCGAACCCGCGGACTGTTTTGTTGCCCATCAGACTCATGCCATCGCACCATTACACCGTCGACACCGAACGGCGGGAAACGCGTGAATGTGCTTGGCTCGAACTGCGCTAGAATGACAGTAATAATACTGGAGGTGCAGCGACGGTACTGGTGATTGACGCTCGCGTCCACCTTTGTGTTTTGTAATTACAGCCAGTCACGCTTGCTCAGGTAGTCGTAACACGCCACAGCGTACTTGCATATTGAGCGGCGGTCACAAGGGATCAAAAGAAGCGACGCTAGCAGTCACCGGACCTAACTTATTATCGGTTATCGGTTTTCTACAATCGTCTCGTCCGAGGGGGATACGACACCCATCGCCGTTTCGCCCCTAATGGAGCTAGCGCCTCGCGAAAAAAAAATCGGTTACGAGACGCAACGACTGGAACCCTTCAAGATTTTGATCAACCGCTGACCACTGAGGTCAGGTCAAGTGTCCGAAGGTAGGAGTTCGGTGTTTGGTGAACAACTTCGCCAAAAATTGTTGCAAAGCCGCGTTTTTGGCAACATCGTGTTTGTCATGCTCAGGCATGTCGCTCCGTGTGCCTTCTTGCATGGAATCAGCTTCTGTGGACTCTAACCTCAAGCAATAACCTCAAACCTAACCTCAAGCAACTCAAGCAGTTGCGGAGCGAGCTCAAGACCCTTGATGAACTGAGGGCTGTCTTGTGTCGTAAGTCGTCGAAGACTTCGCCGGTCGCCCACACGATGGTAGGCGATCATCTGAGACGCATGGCGCGGCAAATCCGGCTCCGGGCCGATCGCTGCTATGCATGGGGGGGGGGGCACTTTGAGCACTTCTTGTAGACAAACGAGGCGTCACAACTATCTTCTATTTAGGTGATGTCAAATGTCCAAGATTTATATTCTTAAGTTGTGCTGTTTATGTTTAAAAACAAGTATGTCATTCTTTATTGACTACCCCGTACTCGTATGTCCTGTAAGTTTCATCTCCCTGCAAAAGCTCCTCTGGCACTAAGGGCGTTGCCAAGTTGCGACAGTTTAGGACCGTGTGGACGTTAGTACTTATGACGTCAGTCGTCATACATAGGTCAGTGACCTGACCTGACCCGAAAAAGCGGTTGTTGGCACAAAGAAATGTTCGATTTCCCCCGTCCTGAAACGGGCCTGAGGTCATCTGAGGTCACCATATCCGAAACGGCTGATGAAATTTCATACCTACGGTTGAATCGACAGGCGGTGAAATAGTCTCGAGCGGAGAGGTTCCTGAGCTATAGAATATAGAAAGGCTGTTAAGTGTTATAGGTGAAATCGTCGAGCAGACCTTTCAAGAAGATCAAGGGGTCATCTGTAGTTGCTTTATTCGAGACAACTAATGAAATCGCATACGGCGAATCAACTGTTGGCCCTTTTGCCTCCATCGGTCCCGTGGTTCCTGGGTAATAGAATTGCTGCGATAGGCAAAATTCTCAGGTAACCTACCACGGCCACTTGAGGTCACCATATTGCACCATACTGCACCATGTTGCAGCACATCAGACTGCAACTAGGAAAATCAAGAAACGTTTGAAAGTCAGCACCATGTGGAGAAACGAGGCTGAGAAGATAGAAGCCGACGCGAATCTGCGGGGCTTCCCGAGGGAGGCTGTATGTCTCTCCGGCAAGCCTCCGTGGCTGTCCCTCGGTCGTGGAAAGTTCACGTTACACACGGACACGAACACAGCCCACAAGTCGTCGAGATCGGACGCGCCAGAGAAGAGAGATAGTGGCGACGGCCGGGCGGTGGCTCAACACTTCCAAACTTTCTTACTTGATTCTGGGCGCTTTACAATCCCACAATACTGACTTTTTTAACCCTCGCCCGCACATGCCATTTTCCCATCCTAGAACGCACATGGGGGGGGGGGTGGTTGCCACCCCCCCCCCCCCGCGCCATTTCGTTCCTGTTGGAGATAGAGCTTAGCGGTAATGACCAAAAAGATTCTTTGGGAAGAGACGAATCCAATGATACCCAGTTTTACCTTCTCAGGTCAGTCATTGACCTTCCAGGTCAGGTCAAACTAAAAAATGTTGCTGTTTTGGGTCACCGTTGGATATCAAGTGCGCTGCTTATCAAATACCGATGACGATGCTGTTTTCTGGTGCCAAGCCAGCTAGAACCTCTTTGTCACACTACCCGACCAGAATTTTGCTGCCGAGGTCATTTCAGGTCAAGTTAGGTCAAGGTCAATTATATGTGTTTGTATGTCTGTGTGTGTCTGTGTGTATACTGATGTGTGCACCGATTGTTTTTGGGTCCATATTACATGAAATCATGATCTGAGAAGCTTTTACCAAAAATGCAGTCAAAAAACTTCACAAAAAGTAAATTCAGATTGCCTAAAACGCAATTATCTTAGATGACCTAGGTTGACCTTGACCCTGACCTTGACCCCTGTACATCGTCGAACAACATGTTCCATGATAGGTGGGAGGTAAGACTGGCAAAAAAGGCCGAAATCAGGGTGTCAAAAGCTCACAAGGCCCATGGCAAACGCAAGATGTTGAGAATTGGCCATTTGGGTCATGACATGACCTGAAAAACAAGGTCATATCTCCGAAACCAAAAATCACAGAAACTTCAAATTTTCAGTGGACATCAAGAAAGGATAGAGGAGCAGCTATACGAAAAATCAGCCCTCTAGCTCTAAAAATGTTGAGTGCAGAGCAGAAAGACTACCTGGGGGGGGGGTGGCAACCACCCCCCCCCCCCCATGTGCGGGCGAGGGTTAACATGTGAGGCGGTGGCGGGATGAGCGTGTCTCGGTGGGGTGGCGTCGGCAAAGGGGCTCTCCGGATCACCTCAAATGCGCGACGCGTTCGGCTTGGTGGCGGCGACTGCCGACTGGCGATTTAGTTCTTGAAGTTTAGTTTGTTTGAATTATTTTTAAGTTCTTGTATAGGTATGTTTTTGTGCTTATTTGCGTGCATGTTTTTAACAGAGCTGGTGACTCGAATAAAGCACCTTTCCAGTGCCTTTGCACCAGTTCTTAACCCTCGCCCGTATAGGGGGGGGTCGAACGGACCCCCCTCGGTTTTTCGCAAATAACATGCGTAAAAAGCGGCCGATCGCGACGAAACTTTCAGTACCCTCGCGTTAATTAATTTTACACCTACCCTGAAATTTTCGTGACCCTGACCCTAATGACCTTTGACCTGTGACCTACTTTTCGAGACCATGTTTGGCCGGAATCGCGATTCGGCGTATGTCGGCTCGCATTAGCGGCACGTTTGCAGTCTTTTCGTGGTTTTAAGCGTTCAAACATGGGATATGATGTTGCTCCCATGCATTAGGGTGGGTGTCAAGGTCACCGGAAGGTCAGGTCAGGTCATTGACCTTTGATGACCTCGGTTCACTTTTTCGAGTTTTACATGTTTCTTTCCTAGGCCAGTTTTTGGAGCTGAATTCGAATTTAGCAACCATATGAACATTTACGAAGTAGTTTTGGTGCCTTCGTAACATGTTACGAAGCTGTCAGAGGCGGTTGCCACCTACTACGAAATAGGTGTAGGAACGTTTTCGAAAGTGTGTGTGTGTGGGGGGGGGGGGTGCCAGGCTCCCAGAGGCACAAAACCTAACCTACCCCCAAAATCCATTTTCTCCTCGGATTTCGGCCACTTCATTTTGGCAAGCATGCTCAAATCGGTAAAAAAAAATGACAAGAAAAAAAGAAGCTCTAGCTCGATCGCATATTTACGTCTGGACAACGAGTTGCGGGGAAAAGTGCTGATTGTGTTGCAGTTTTAGGAGCCGGTGATAAGGCTGGATTTTTGGGTTACTTTTTCGTTCCGATTCATGTATATTTCATAGTGTTTGGCTTTTGAAGATTTTAGTTCTTTCAGATAAATATTACTTGCCTTACAACTTTTCTAAAAACGTTTCATTTTTTATAAGCCGACGTTCAGAGTCCTAAAAATACATCAGCACCAGGGGTGTAACTTTTGCTTTTGAGATGGGGGTGCACTTGGTGATGGGGGCGACCTTCAATGAGGATAGGGGCTCTTCCAAGGTGCATAGATGGTGCATACATTATACATTAGCGTCGCCACGGGGGGACAAGCGGGGCAGCTTGCCCCCCCCCCCCCACCCCCGACCGGGCTCCCCCTGAGATCAATGCAGATCCGATGAGATTTTGGGGTCGGCAAAAAAATGGGGATAGTTTTCATGAATGGCTGTAAAGTCAAAATCGGTTGGAGTCGCGAGTCCCAACCAGAGTCGGAGTGAGAGTCGCCAACATTTTCAGGACTTTGACTCCAGGCTCGAACGTATCATAACTTTGATTCAATCCATGTCTTGGCTGGTGTTAGCTGAATTTTACACTCGGTTTTCAACACTGTTGTGGAGCTGGGAGCGACCCCCTTGCCTCCTCTCGGGAGCAGCGCTCCGTCCACGCGCAGAGACCGGGTCCGTCTAGTACCTACGCTGACACGAAATTTTAGTGTCAAGACCATTAGCGTCGCCACGGGGGGGGGGGGCAAGCGGGGCAGCTTGCCCCCCCCCCCCCCAACCTTCAACCGG